AACGAATAGAAGAAAACCTGTTACCCTAACAATTTTATTTATGATGAAAAAAAATATATATAAAACAAAATCCCTATTACAGTTTACTTTATGTTCTCGACAAAAAAAAGTACCTACCCATTACAATTTTCTATATGTTCTTGAAAAAAAAGTAAAAAAAAAAAAGATAATAATAATAAGGAATTCCCACGCTCATTTATATCAAATTACCCCCCCCCCCCCCCGCGCCCGCCCATAGAAATCCTCAAAGGGAAGCGCGTATTTTCTCTAGAGGTTTCAACAAGATAATGGGACCTTGGTATCTTCTCGTGCCCTCGGGGTGTACTTGCCTCTGCAGATCAAGAGATTATGATAAGGAGAACTTGATGATAAACGGATATAAAGGAGAACTTGGTGATAAACGGATGTTAAGGAGAACTTGGTGATAAACGGATGTTAAGGAGAACTTGGTGATAAACGGATGTTAAGGAGAACTTGGTGATAAACGGATGTTAAGGAGAACTTGGTGATAAACGGATGTTAAAGAGAACTTGATGATAAACGGATATAAAGTAGAATTTGATGATAAACGGATATAAAGGAGAACTTGGTGATAAATGGATGTTAAGGAGAACTTGGTGATAAACGGATGTTAAGGAGAACTTGGTGATAAACGGATGTTAAGGAGAACATGGTGATAAACGGATATAAAGGAGAACTTGGTGATAAACGGATGTTAAGGAGAACTTGATGATAAACGGATGTTAAGGGAAGTTGATAATATGCGAATGGTAAAGAGCAAAATTTAATGATAAACTAGGTAGACATTAGACGTTAAGGAATGTCCCTTTTATCAAATCTGGAAAGAGGGGGGGAGGCATTGTCTTTTGGGATTATAATGACGAACTAAAAGAATCAAGTAGTAAGAGAGAGAGAGAGAGAGAGAAGGAAAAAAGCTAAAGTTTTTGAAGGTCTCAAATGCTTTTTTTTTTTAATACACACTTAACTTGGATGATTTGCTGAGTAGGTTTCCGTGTTTTCTAAAACTTTAGATTGCTCGTTGCAGTGTCAATGTCGCATGATTGCAGAGTTATTGCATCGGAGCTCTTGCCTAAAGTTTGTTCAAAATCGTTTATAATAATAAAAAATAAACGTTCGAGTTCCGGGTCGTCTGTGCGTGGCCGGGGAACGATCACCTCTTGTGTGTGTGTGTGTGTGTTTTTTTTTTTTTTTTTTTTTTTTTTTTTTGTTCTTATTTTTTTTCTCTCGCTTTCTCTCTCTCTCTCTCTCTCTCTCTCTCTCTCTCTCTCTCTCTCTCTCTCTCTCTCTCTCTCTCTCTCTCTCTCTCTCTCTCTCTCTCTCTCTCTCCCTCTCTCTCTCCCTCTCTCTCTCCCTCTCTCTCTCCCTCTCCCTCTCCCTCCCTCCCTCCCTCCCTCTCCCTCTCTATCTATTTACCTACCTATCTATCTGTCTCTTCCCATTAACCTTCACTTATCATCCTTTTCTCCATCCCTCCTTTATCACCCTTTTCTCCCTACCTCCTTTATCGCCCGTTCCTTCAGTCCCCTTTCGCCGACCTCCAGGGACCCCGTAGCCTTGACTCTCGGGCTCCTCTGCCAAGGCCGCTCTGCTCCCGTGCCTTCTGCGTCCTGTGGGTGTTTTATCATTTAATGTCGTTACCGCCTTCGGGCCCATTTCAAGGTGAAGATGATTGAAGAGGATATAAGAAATAGTTTAAAAAATAAGTAAATAAAAGTCATGTGATGAAAATGTGGTTTCCTTTTTAATTTTTTGTTGGTGTTGGTTTCATTGTTGTTGATGACGGTGTGGTATTTTTTCATTATCATTATTGTTTTTGTTGTTATTGTTATTATTATGACAGTGATAAGTATTCATTGCCATTATCATCATTATCATTAATAGTCGTGGTAGTAGTAGTATAGTAGTAGCAGCAACAGTAGTAGTAATTGTGGTAATAGTAGTAGTAGTAGTATCATTATTATTTGCATTATTTTTTATTGCAGTTTCTTAATAGTCTACGCTATGATTAATCATATACGCTTTATTCATGCATCACAATGACTTCTTTTAAACAAACTGAAAGGCAGAGTAGGATTTCATTCAAAGTTTCGGTGTATTGAGTTAGTGTGTATTTATTATTGATTCAAATACAGACATACATGCAAGCGTAAACGTAAGAGTGTGTATGTGTGTATGTGTGTGTGTGTGTGTGTGTGTGTGTGTGTGCGTGCGTGCGTGCGTGCTTGCAGGTACTCTCGTGTGCTTATAGGTGCATACATAATGAAGGAATGTTTCTGTGAAATATTTCCCTGTTCGTGACGTCACCTTTATGCCCCCCCCCCCCCTTAGTATCACCTGTATTCTCCTCATTACATTCCTCATTCTCTCTTTCCATTACGCAATCCCAACTTTCGTCCCCAATTTTCTCCCCACCCCCCTCCCCCCCGCAATAATCATCTGCTTTGGACACTTATTACCGAAATCACCCCCCTCCCCCCTCAACAACAACCTTGGTGCCAGACGTATGATTATGAGAGTTGTGAGGGAATATAGACAAGTACTCACAATAGGTCATAAAGACACCCCCCCCTACTCCCCCCACCCCCCATCCGATCTCCCACCCTTTATCACAAGCCATTCATTCACCCATGATGCAAACATGGGATTCGCTAGTACTCATGGGCGTCACGCGACCTCAGGTGCAACTCTGGCACTCCCACGGGTCATCGAATTTTCCCACGGGTCGTGAAATTTTCCCACGGGTCTCTCAGGCTTCTCACAACCAGAGGGAGATGACGTGGGTGATTATGTTCGTCTCAAACCCTTTCTTTCCTTTTTATATTTTATTTATTGGCATTATCGTCGTCTTCGTCGTCGTCATCATTATTGCACTAGCAAAATAGCAGAAAATGAAGAGAGATTCACATATATATTATATATATATATATATATATATATATATATATATATATATATATATATATATATATATATATATATATATATATTCTTCTATTTCCTTTTTAATGTAAAGGTAATAGATATCCAGATGCGTGCTTTATGAAAATAGATGAAATTTCACAAGGGAGAAACATGTACAAATCATTATAGTATTTAAATTTATTAGTAATGACTATTACTATTACTATTAACAGTATCAGTATTGCAATCGTTATCCCTTTTATCTTTATTATGAAAATTAGGACATGAATAAGAACATAATAATGATATTAAATGCCCCCCTCCCCCCCACACACACCCTCAAAGAAAACGGAAATATCCAGTTCGATCTTCCATTTTTTAAATCTTAGTCGCTGGAAACGAGAGAGAGAGGGGGGGAGAAAGAAAGAAAGAAAGGAAGAGGCAGAGAGAGAGAGAGAGAGAGAGAGAGAGAGAGAGAGAGAGAGAGAGAGAGAGGGGGAGAAAGAAAGAAAGGAAGAGGCAGAGAGAGAGAGAGGGGGGGGGGAAAGAAAGAAAGAAAGGAAGAGGCAGAGAGAGAGAGAGAGAGAGAGAGAGAGAGAGAGAGAGAGAGAGAGAGAGAGAGAGAGAGGGGGGGGGGAGAAAGAAAGAAAGGAAGAGGCAGAGAGAGAGAGAGGGGGGGGGGGGAAGAAAGAAAGGAAGAGGCAGAGAGAGAGAGAGAAGGGAGAAAGAAAGAGAGAGAAAGAAAGAAAAAGAAAGAAAGGCAGAGAGAGAGAGCGGGGGATAAGGAAATTTGATAAGGCCGCCCACTGCCTCTCTTACCCCTTCCTGGTGGCCACTGTATAGAGGCCGCCCAGTCACGTGGTTACCGGATCCGCCCAAACAGATATCGATAAAAAAGTAGAGTAAATAGATAGAAGAGAAGAAAATGGGAAGGAAGAATAAACAGAACGGGGGGAAAAAACAACAACATTGTAGGGAAAACTATATTTTTTTCTTCATTCTTTCTTTCTTTTTTCATTCGCGTTGTGAAAACCAAAACAACGGAAGGAGAAAATAGAACGTCATTTTTTTTCAATCCGTCTGACTTTTGCGTCATACCTTTTGAACTATATTGATCCTTAATGTTAAATGTTGAAATGAATGGCAAAGATTTATATGTTTATATCTTTGGCATTCACTTCATTAACAGATTTTAAAATACGTTACGAAGTTGAGGAAGCAGTTGCATAGCTAACCATTATTAGGATTATCATTTATTAGCGTTATTTATTTTATTAGTTCAAGTGCGTTACTATTATCGTAGTATAGTTTTATATGTGCTGAACGTAAGAATTGGAGTGAAAATGACTAACGGATTTTTTGAATTTGAAAATTTACTCCTCTGAGGTCACGTGAATTTATAACGATTTTCCGTTAGATTCAAAACGTGAGTGTAGATGAAAGTACAACTTCGTAAGGTTTTGATAAGTGATTTGTCTCAAAGTGTTTTTATTCTCTTTATTATTATTTTTATACAGACAAAAAATGCCCTACTACGTTGTTTATCCTTTTATAATATATTTAGCGTGTAATTTATATTTACAAAGAGATAATTTCATTCTCTCTACGCTATGTTTCTACTTCACTATCCTGCAAGACCTAAATCAGTATCGACACGATTATTATCACCATTATCGTTATTAATAAACTAAATATGTTAGAAATAAATGTTATCTCTAACCTCCAATATATTTTATATAACAAATACGTTCTCTCTAACTAATAAATATGTTATCCCTAAACAATAAAAGTGTTATCTTTAACTGATAAATATGTTATCTCTAATAAATTATCTCTAACTAATAAAACTGTTATCTTCAATAAATATGATATCTCTACCTAATAAATATATCTCTAACTAATGAATATGTTATTTCTAATGCGTTATCTCAAACTAATAAAAGTGTTATTTTTTACTAATAAATATGTTATCTCTAATACATTATCTCTAACTAATAAAACTGTTATCTTTATCTAAAAAATATGATATCTCTACCTAATAAATATATCTCTAACTTGCCCATTTTTCCCTCCCGCAG